GGTATGGGGCGGCTGAGGGGCGGCTGAGGGGCAGCGCGGGCCGCGCGGAGGGCGCGGGGAGCCTCGGCGAGCCTCGGCCGGTGCCGTGGGGCTCCGGGGGCCGGTGACGGCGGCTGCTGCCCGCGGCCGGCGCCCGCCCCTCACGGCGGCCGGGGAGGCGCGGGGCGGCCCCTTGGCAGCGGCGGTGCCCGGGGCGCTGCGCACCCGCACCGCGCTCAGCGCCGCGGTTTTATTTATAGCAGGTCTGGTGAGCGGCTGGAGCCCGGAGCGCTGCGGAGCCCTGCTGAGGGAGCCCTTTATGAGGGAGCCCTGGTGAGCCCGGAGCGCTGCTGGAGCCGGGGGATGGCCGTGGCCGGCAGGTGAACAGCGCCAGCGCCGCAGCGGGGAGCTCGGGGGGCGGGTTGGCTCACAGGTAGGTATGCGGCGCCTGCTGCTGCTGCTCCGACGGGCTTTTAATTGCGTGTTTTTTAAAGTTCATCTATTGTATATACCGGTGCAGCCAAGGTCACCTTGAGCACGAGGGGGACGCATTTGGCTTCCAGCGTTTAAAGGTTTACAGGCTTTTTTTTTTTTTTTTTTTTTTTTTTTTTTTTTTTTTTTGTTATTTATTGGGAGGTAGTAATTTGCCTGAGGACTAATTTAAATAAAGGCGGATTGAATGTGAGAACCAGCAAAGACAAAGGGATGACTTAGGCTGTGAAAGTATGGTCTGCATGCTTATACTGGCTCAGACTCCAGTTTGTATTGGGAGCTCCCTGCGTGGAGGTATCGTGGGATGGGTTTGTGGCAGCTTGGGAAAGGCACTAAAGAGGGCAGAAACGGTGGACTAAAGTTGTAGGTCTTGCGGCTGCAGATGTTAGCTTAGCATGCAGGGTGGGAGCAGTCTCATTTCTCTTGATCCACAGCTTGGCCGTGATAGAAGTTTCCTTGCAGTGACAGATGGAAGAAGAGGTATTGCTTCTTTGCAGTTTSTCTTGGTGAAAATGCTGGAATTCCTATTTCAGTGGTTCTCAATAACAAAGCAGTTTAATTTGTAGTCATTTGCAAATGCRCTGTACAACACTTAGTTGTTTTAATATGTTTGCCTTTCCTTTTTTCTTTGGCCAGGGGAGAATTATTTACTGTGCTCATTATATGAGCTACAGAACTTCCATTTCAAAATAATAATGCAAGTTCAGATTTCTTTACTGCTCTTTAATCCCACAAGACTGAAATGTCACTTGTCAGCAGCGTGTTCACATTTAGGAGTGTGCTTTTTTATAGAGCACTCCTTCTTCCCTAGGAATTTGCGAACTGGTTTGACTACAGCTAGACCAGACACATAAAATACACTGTGAGATAGGATTAGGTGAGAACATTAATGACAGTTTTTGTAGATCGTGGGTGTCTTTGAGAAGCAAATTATGAAAGAGTGAGGTCACAGAGTGCAAGAGAATAGTAAAGTTCTGGAAATGTTTGACGTGTGTATCCTTATGGCTGCATGGTTTAAGCCATGCAGTAAAGAACAGTGGAAAATTACAAAGGGGCTATAGTGACCTGTAATTGCAAGAAGAGCAGAGATAGAAAAAGCRTGCAGGAAGCTGATTGGTGTGCTGTGCTTATGGAAGTCAAATGTGCTGGGGTTTTTAGCATATTAAAACCATGCCGATTTCTAGCTGCAGTGAAGCGTCTTTGGAACTGAACTTTTACTGAAGGATGAAAAAATAGTAATTTGCTAATTTATTGCTAGATGTCTATTACTGAAATTAGGCATATAAATATATATATACACATGTTATTATTTTGCAGTTTGTAATCTTCAGTTCAATTCCTCTGTCATGGATGAAACTGCTTTGTCCCTTGGAACAATAGATGTTTCCTATTTGTCCGCCTCAGCAGACTGCAGCATCAGTAGATGTAAGCATTCCAGTGAAGAATGGGTAAGTAAAAACTGTGAATGTTACTGGTTGCATTTATCTTATTATTTCTGCAAGTTGAAAGTGGGTTTTTATTCTTATGAAGAATGAAGATAAGGCATTGCCTCTCTCATGCATGATACAGTTTGTTTTTAATTTAACTAGCAATTAAGGAGGAACCAACATTTCGGTTCTGTGCCAAAGATTAATGTTGCTAGAAAAGAAATCCTGCCAGACCCTATTGATAGTCTCACGCTCCTCTGATGTGATACTGCTGTTCATTTTATATARCAGTAAATGTACAGAATCCCATTCTGGAGTAGCCAGAGTCAAATAGGAAGCTTATTGCTCTTCTGAGTGATGTAGKTTAAAATGCCCAGGTGAAAAGGAGCGTGAGGCTGAAGTTGCACAGTTACATAGGCATTGAAGCTGGAGCTTTCCATGCAGTCCAGGAGGCAGAAAAAAATTGGTGGATATAAATAATGAGCCTATTAAAAGTCTGTGTCCTCTYGTTAAGTGAGTCTTGGGATTTGGAGGGGACAAAGAAAGGAGTGAGCAGAGCGGTCTGGGTGGAGCCAAAAGAGCCACATGGGAACTGGGATGGTGGTAGCTGGTTTAGCAGCATAGGTCAGGAGGMATTAGGCATGGATCTGGAGAGGAGGAGGAGTTTGAACTTGATACAGAAGAATTGGAGACATGGTCAGAGTTGAGGGAAAGGACAGATGTCCTGGCAGCTGGGATTTCCATCTAACTAGAGATGAGTTACGTGGAACAGCAAGCTGCATAAACCAAGAGGTCTGTGAGAAAGTGGAATAAGGGCAAGAAAGACAAAAGAGATGAAAGGAGATTTTGTAAGAAAATGYTGGAGATTTAAGTCAGGGGTTGGAGTCAAGCAGAAGGAAGATGGTGTTGTTACAAAGTTGGTTTGTTTTGGAGTTAACATTAAAGGAGGTGATAGAGGAGGGRTTATGGCAGGCTTAGCATCTTGATACTTGTTTATTTCAGATGGAAGACTTAGCCTTGGAATATTTGCCAGTTCATGCTGCTTGCCAAATGTGGTATATGCACAATTTAGTTTTTAAGCATCTTTAGCGTTGCTTTTGACTSTGGTTGGTTGTTCCTCATTGGGCTAAGTATGTCATGATCTGTATTTGTGTCTTCCAACCTTGRCTCTATCCTGCTGTTCTTCCACTTAAAAGTGCTATTTTCAGCAACATTTCCATTTTGTTTTGGTTTATTTCTGTAACTTCTCTTTTAATACTGGAGGTAACTTCCCTCTCAATAAAATACATGGTTTAAAGATTGCAACCCAGTCCTCGTTCTCAGGCAATCAATAATTCAGTAGATTTTAATGGAAACAGTCACTGCCTTTGAAAAAGTTAACTAAAAAACTTAACTACACTTTCTACATTATATCTTAACATAGGAATGAGTTCTGTGAATGCAGTCACTCTGGATTTTTTTGTTCTCTAATCTTTAGGTAGACAATGTAACTTTGGGGAAGGCACAGGGGTTCCTTTTTCATATTACTCTGCGTGAAACTGCTGAAAGTGCCTATAGAATCCATGGTGTTAATGTTTTGGATACATTGAGTTTTCATGCAGTTTTACAGGGTGATGTTCAGTTGAACCTTGAAATACATTGCTCAAATTACTCGCACCTTTACATTATGGAGAATGTAGTGTATTGTTAATTCCTTTCACTTTTCTCAGCTGGCAGTTTCTTTGGTGTTTCTTAATTACAGTTATCATTYGTTTTAAAATTTTGTGTGTCAGCACGGGTAGCAGTGCTTATATATCTAAGTACAACACTGAGATTTTGCTTTCATTTCTTTAAGTTGTAGAAAAATCTTTCAAAATTTTGTGCTTTTCATAATTGAGGGATAATTTTTCTGTGTGTATGGCAACTGTTCTTCCTCAAAGTTTTCCGATATACAGTAAAACACATATTTCTGCATATTTACACAGTGGTCTTTTGTTCTGCAGGGAGAGTGTAACTCTCGTCCCACTCTCTTCCGATCTGCCACTTTAAAATGGAAGGAGGCTCTGCTGAGCAGGAAAAGGCCGTTTGTGGGACGATGTTGCTATGTATGCACTCCCCAGAGCCGGGTAAGAAGATTATGGAATGGATTATGTTTGACAATAATGCATAGTTGCAGCGTAATGAAGTTGCAGTAGTTTGCTTACTTTCAGAATTAAGGTCACAATGTTTTTACTTCATAAAGTAGTATAGTTTTTCACTGTTGTTTCTGGTTATATTTGGTCTTGGAATTCAAGGATGGCATGAACCTTTTGTGATGCCTAGTCTTCCACCTTTCAGTGCAGACTTACTCCTTGCAGAAAACTTTCCAGCTCTTCAGAATTATCACTAGGAAACGGGAGAGCAAAATTATCTGGTATATTAGATAATAACAATCTAATAATCTAATAATGGGAACTCGGTGCATATGAAAGTGTGAAAGTTTGCTTTTAGGGCACTTTAATTCTCTATCCACAGAATAAATAYGGTTTTGAAGCTAAGTAGTATGCTTCCTTTCAAACTTGCTCAGTCCTGTACTTAAGAGAACAAGTTAATTTTCTACACCTGGCTGWTTCCTTGCCTCTCTGCCCAGTCTGGAAACAAGGACTGCCAGTTGTGATAGTGGGGATATTTGCCTGCTGAGAACAGTGTCAAGATAGTGGCTCTCAAGGGGTTGTGCAAGCTGATTTAAAATGTGAACTTTATTGAACTGCRTTGGGCAGGCTTTCTGTAAGCTCAAGATGCAAATGCTGATAAATGGCATAATACAGTTTGCAACCAGTTCATCATGTAATTTGACTATGCGTACACCCCGGGCTTTAGATTGCACTCAGTTACACCTTCATTGGCTGGGCTAGAGTCAAAATTTGCTTGTCTCTTTGACCAAAGAGAAGTTGTTACTTCACTCTCTTGCTCCACCAAAACAGAAAATTGTAGCAATGACATACAAATGTGGTATAGGAATCCAAGTGTACTGTGAAGGCTCTGTATGATATGGGCAACAAGACAAGCAATTRGATAGACTGAGACTACTTCTAACAGACAAGTGAAATGTTCTGACTTATGAAAAGGTCTGTGTGAATCCTCAGCTTAGGGCTTTATACATTTAGCAATTTGCCTGTTTGCAATTAGTCTTGTTTCTCCCTCTCGTTTTCCTTCCTGCTTTCCTGAGGGCTGATGAAATTCACTAACCAAGCCGAAAACTACCTGCTTTATTCATTTAGTCTATCTTAGCTTTTTGTCTTGCCTGCATGAAGTTCATGCCTTGAAGGGAGTAATGAATGCTAGAGGTGCTGTAAGGCAAGAGGTGAGGGTTAGTGATCAGCATGAAAGGCCAGGATGTGGTGGTGGGAGCTGGGCTGCTTCTTTGTGCCAGCAGAGAGATCCTGTATTGGCTCAGTTGGTCTCACAGAGCCTCCTGCTCTGCTTGACACAGGATTGGAGTTAAGGAAAAACTAAAATATGACACTGCAGCTGGAGGATGAGTTTTGCAGAATGGGATTGTAACCTGATGGTTGGAGCCCTGGTATAGACTGGCATTCAGTGGTATTTAACTTTGTTGATGATTGGTTGTCTTAGGAGACCGAGAGCAAGTCATTTTGCTTCTCTTTGCCAGAACATTTAATCAGCTTATAAGGTCCACAAAAAATCACCACTGTATAGTCAGAGAAATTAGCATTACCTTGAAGTTTTCTCTTCAGAGTTTAGAGTAASGGTTGATTGAATGTACAGTGCAGTTTTTCTTTAGCAGGGGGCAGAAGACTGTGCTCCCATTGCAGCACATAATTTCTACTGATTTACAAATGACATAGGACAGTCACCTGTTTTAATTCTGTGGCAAATGGTGTGTCCTAAACAAAATACAAACAAATTACTCTTACCTGACTCCATTGCAGAACTGGTGGTGAGGCTGTTCTGCAGCTTTGCTGTTGCTGGTGACCATCTTCCCCCTTTGCTTTTTTTTGTCTTCTTTGATATGTATTGTTCCAGTGGCTTTAGCTGTTATTCACTGGCAAGGTACCAGTTTTATAATTATGTTTTATTGGGTAAAAAGAAATCTGCGTCGTGGTCAAGGTATTTGCTTGGAATATAGAAGAGTAGAGTTTTTCCAGAGGTCTTCCTGCCAAGGAAGCTTTGTTGTGAAAATGCTCCTAAACTCATCCCAGTTAATACATTAGCAGGTGGGATCTGTAAAAAGGATGTAGAAGGCTGGACTKAGTTTGTTGTTCAGGCAGAGCAGGAATGTGGAGATTTGTCTCCTAACCATGGATGGATATCCTGACCCKTAGGCYGTTGTTACATGATTCCTGATCTGCTGGCAAACTGAATGTCACAGRCTGAGYGTCAAATGCTCATGGTTRCAYCAATACTCAGTGTGGTTTAATAAAGTTCTGTCTCAAAGGTGAGTTCTGTATTATGTCAAGTCCGGGTTTATATTTCATCAGAATCTGATGAAATGTTGTGGCTTGAAGACTGTAACCAGTACAACCACGCAGTAAAGCCTAGAGAATGCTTGAAAATATTAAGTTGGGAATAGTGCCTTGAATTTCATTTTCATGTCAGRACAGTTTGTGTACTGTGTAAGCAGGTGCTGTGCTTTTCTGATTTGACTTTGCTGTAGTACAAATGAAAAAGGTTGCATTGTATTAAATGTTATGGTGAATGTAACAGACAAAGCTGTTCTTATGTAATGAAATAGTCCATTAATCTTTTTTTTTCTTGTTTTTGCAGGATAACTTCTTCAATTCTAGTATTCCATCTTTGGGTCTACGTAATGTCATATACATCAATGAAACACATACACGGTAATATAGCAAATCTTTCCTTTGCTTTTAATATTCAACMTGTTCTGWTTTTATGACAGAGAAATCTCTATTATAGTCCAGACTGAGTTAATATATCTTGTGGTCCTAAAATCCAGAAATTTGGTGCTGACTTCAGGAAAGTAATGTACTTGTTGAATCTAGCTGTGTGTATTTGGGAGCTGGGCAAAGTCCTTTGGGGTTATAGACAAGAAGTGTAGGGGTCAAACCTGTTTCACAAAAAAAAACAGAGCACCTTTAAATTCTTTTTCTTAGTGCRAATGGCAGCATCCGTAGCATAATGTTGAGAGGACCCGATTTGTTCCCTGGTGCAGAATTACTTCAGGCTGGATTTTATTTTACTGAACAGATCTGGCTCACAATTTAGGTGCTGACTACTACCACCAATGGCAGTTAAACCTGAATATGTCTTATGAGTCTGTCTCTTCTCTGTCCCCGGCAGAGTGCAGCTTCTCAAAAGTGGGGTATAAATGAAAAAAAATCTGGAAAATGAAGATGTGTCTTTGCACTATTGCAATAATATGTTATGTTCTGGGATGAAGATACTGTAATTGAACAAAAATATTGTGTTCTTTGTAATGTTAATAATGCTTGCTAAGTTTTTTTTACAGTAATCATTAGCATAAGCAGGTCCTGGAGTGTTTGTTGTAGAGTCAGAGCTAACAAAGAGAGGCYAACAGCCTGAAAGAAATGAGCCAAAGTGTCTGAGTGGAAGAAAGGCAGCATTGTGTGTGCTTGAGAGGGAGGAAGCTAATGTTAGAGGCTGTTCTTTATTAAATTTGAATTAATTATGTTTTTTAAGAGTTGAGCTTGTAGTTTAGAATACAGAAAAATAACAGAAATACTGTTAAACTTTTYAAAAATTAGTTTCAAAAGTCTAATGCTTGAATGGTTTTGAATGGTCAAAGTTACTTGAATTGGAAATACAAGGAGAAAAATATATGGGTTAATGAATTATTCTGAAATAAATTAATTTAGCTCAGAATGTCATTATTGTGTGAAAATAGACAATTTTAACAAAGTTCTGAGGTCCTGTGGAGCTACATAGTCACAGTTTCCTGGCCTTAGAAAGCAAGAGGTGTTCTCTTTAACTGCTGACATGCTGTAACTGTACTGACATGTTATCACAGCCTTTGAGGTGCAACTGCCAGTTTTAAATCTATCTTGACTGGTCCATTCTGTGTGGTTCCTTCTTTCATTGCTACATGTTTAGAAAACACATCTTTCCAATTAAACTACATTGTGTCTAAGCTGTAAAATGAATGTAGACACCTTSATACCTTGACAGGTCCCTGCAATAACTGTTTAATATTGTGATATATTCATAGTTACCAAAATCCTTATCAGAAAGAAACATATCCTTATCTTTGCTTTCTAAAAAAATGAGTAAGGCTCTCAACTCAAAAGAGAAGGGGGAAAAAGGAGGAAAAGCAATTAAAACAGTCACCATTCTTCTCTGATATCACAAATAGTGGGTCTGAATATTTCTGTAGGCATTACATGCSCATGGCTTGTGCATGTGCACCCATCTTAATTACAGTGCACTCGGGGGCTTTGGCCTTTTGCTGTGTAAAGGTTCCTTCTCATCTTTCCTCGCTGTTTTCAACACATGTATAAATTTACTGAAATGTGGTAGGGAGGTTTAACAGCCAAGATCAGTAACTCGAGTGATGACAAGGGGTGAGACATTGGCAGCACTCCAGCATAGAAACCACCATGAGCTTTGTCACCCAYGGTTCAATTTGGGACACTCTGTGGAGCAGCAGGCAGGCATTGCATGAGCAGACTTCAGGACAGGGGTTTTGCATAATACTTAAACCTCTGGTCCTAGGAATGGCCAGAATTTAATTTTTCATCCAGCTGTTAATTCTGCTTCATCACATTAGCTCTGCTGTTTGGGGGTCCCGGGTGTTTGGTTTGTGTGAGTGGTGGCTTRTCCAGTCCTGGCCTGGTAAATGAGGGAGGTGAGGAGAAAAATAGTGGTGAATATCCACTGCAGGTGATGGCATGTAAGCCCTTCCTATGTCACATGCATCTTCTATGATGTTTGATATTCCAAATTACATTTTCTCAGGTTATTGTTGCTTGTATGATTTAGTTTGTAGAGGACAGGGTTAATTTAGAAAGAGACTGACTRCATGAAATACTTGAATTTGTAGTGAGATTTCCTAATGATTTAGTGGTTCTACTTTTGGTAAAACTTTGCTAGGAGAAGGTATGGAGAAGACACATAGGACTGGGTGTTTGAAAACATCCTAAAGGAAGAAAGCTGACTGAAAAAGTGGGTTTAGTTTTGGTGGCTAAAGCTAACACATTTTCAGAAGTGCTTGTGAGAGTTTACCCTKTGCTTACGTGAGCAGCTTTCCCAAGAGGACTTGGTGTTCCTTGAAGAAGTTGACAGACCACTTAGCTTTGCATTTACGTTCTTCAGTGGAAAGGGGCACCAAATTGGAAATCAACACTACCCCTTCTTTTGACCTCGCTGAGCTGGGGAGTTAGTCCTGGTGGACAGATAAAATGTATATGCTAGTTTGTTTTCYWCTTCCCTGTGAYTCTGTGGATGTTTTAAGGCCAGTATCACTTTGAATTGAAGAGATCCAGAYCCCAGTTSTCTCAGATGTTTTGTGCTATGCATYAGTRATTTCATCCATAACATGAAGATAYTRGCAATTTACTGGAAGATACAGAAGATTTTAGGCAGCCATTCATAAAACTTTAYTTACTTTTGCTCCTTAATTGTATTTTTAGTTGTTTTAATGCTATTTTTTGGCAGTGATATATTTTGAGGATCACACTGAAATACCCTTCATATTTTTGTAGGTACAGAGGGTGGCTTGCGAGGCGTTTTTGTTATGTCCTTTTTGTGCAAGAGAGGGATGTTCATAAGGRTATGTTTGCCAAGAATCTGACAGAAAATGTGCTGAATAACAGCAGGTAAGATGATGCAAAATTAACTATTTTTTARATTACTAGTACATTAAAATATGACTTAATTTTGAAATGACAAGTTTTGAAAATTAGAGTGTTAAATATTAGAAGATAAAGTATCTTTAGCACAACTTTTCAGGACTGTAGCTTGGAGTTTCTGTTGGAATAGTAAAAGAGGGGAGTTTAACAATTRCAAGTCTAAATGAATGGTGTGTTGTGAGGAAACAGCAGACAGTACACAGAAAAATAAATTGCTACATGGGAGCTCTTCAAACTTCTGTTTATCTAACTCATGTAAATCATTACCACTGAAATCATACTGCAATCATCAGAAATTGCCAGTGTTTCAGAAATAATAGGTGACCAGCATTTTGGAGTAGTCTGAGTGTACCCTTGGAGTGTTGCAAAAATGGGAAAAGGCTGTAGAATGGAATGGCCACCCTTTGCTTTGTGGAGTTTGTTTTGTGTTTCATAAGCCTCATTTTAAATGACAYCTTGAGCCCCTGATCAGCTGTTAAGGTATCAGTTTTCCATGGATACAAAGAAATTCAACCACATACMCACTCCTTGAGGCTACTTTTGTCAGAGGGCACACACTGCCTACATTAACATTCCTAATACTCCTGAATTTTTAATGCTTTARTCCCATCTGAAGATGATAGTGTTGCTTTTAAAAAGTAAAGCAGACTCTGTTGTGCTACAGTCATGGTGTGTTAAACCACTTGCTCTCTTGGGTATGTTTTAAACGGGGAAAATAGCCCTCACAAAATTTTGTTAGACTTGKTAAAACTGAGACTTCAAAGGGAGCAGTACTCTAGAATTTCAGGATAGCAACTGCGTAAATCTGTCTAATTAGGGAAATGAAATTGYTGTGGCAGGAGAAAGAAAACATTAACAAAGATGAGATTTCATCTGTTTTCCCTGAATTTTTAACCATATTAACCATTTTGGAAAATTGGCAGTCATTTAATGCTAGTACCTGTGAACTGTGTACCTACTATTTTATATGCTCACCTTTGAGCCCATTCATCCATCATCTCCCTTAGAAAACTGCTGAATTGAATTTAATGCATTTGGGGTACACAATAGTTCAGTGTGGATTCTTTTCACATTTTGCAAGTTCCTCCTGTAGTAATACATAGCTCATTCCTGTTGTTTTCTTTGTCTTGCACTCCTCTGTTGTGATGCTCTCTCTTATACACTTTACTTTTTAATGCTAAGAGTCCAGAAGGCCATTGTAGATGAAGCTTCTGAACCAAGTACTCCAGGTAGTTTTGTTCAGACGGATCCTAAAGCTATCAACAAAGTGAAGAAAAAAGCTAGGAAAATTCTCCAGGAAATGGTAGCAAATGTGTCACCTGCTTTGATCAGGTAAGAAAAATGTCTCATTGATATTGTCAGTGAGTGGAAGGATGGACAAGCTCTTTCTGTATAATACCAACAGAGCTTGTAACATATTATGCAGAAATAATTATTTTAAAAATAGAACATTATTCATAAAAATCCCATTTTTAATATTAGCTAATAAAGTAGTAGTTATTCTTCATTTTCAGATGCAGCAGAAATCCCCTGTCTTTCTAAGGAATAAATCTTATGATAAGATTAAATACAAACTTCTTTTCTCCCAAAACTAGGTTTGTTGCTAATGCTTAGACCAGTATTGGCATCATTTGTTAATACATGCTCATATGGGCCAGAACAGTTATCTGCAGATACCTGCAGATAGACTGAATTTTTCCAGTAGCCTATTCAATATTATAGTCTGTAGATATAAATATCTCAGAGACAGTCTTATTTTAGATAAAATCAACTGTGGTATCTACTTTTACTACTAAGGATGATTTTGTCTCTGTCATGTTCCTAGTTCACAGACTTTACTGAGATTGATACAGATTCATGTCATAACTGCAAGAGGCTGAAATGTGGCTACTGACCATAGGCAAAACTTACTTAGCAACTGGATTTTATAGTAATTTTGTTTGAATGTAAATAATCAGATTAAATGGCTTTGCCTTTAGTCATACAGAATCAATATGAAATAGAGGCAGAAATAAATTAAGCTTTTTGAGTTGTGTTTGTTTTCCCTTAGGTTGACTGGCTGGGTGTTATTGAAGTTGTTTAACAGCTTTTTCTGGAATATCCAGATCCACAGAGGTCAAATAGAAATGGTCAAAGCAGCGACAGAGGTAAGGRAGAGTGGGAAAAAATCCAGTAGGGTAGGTTTCTGAAGTAGTTTCTAATGTTTGCAGCACTCTCAGCAGAGAGTTCTGCTTGGTTTGTATGAAATGAGATTATATCTGTGCAATAGTGTTTTTAATTAAATATAATGCTCTTAATGTTGTGTAACCTAAAATACTATGTGAACTCTGGGTTTACCTTTGATTCAAGATCAAATATTAACTATCAGGCTGAATGATTACCTCACATAACCTGCATCCAACATAATTTCCCTTTTTTCAGTTGAGGCAGCCAGTAATGAATTAGTAGATCTAGTCAAGATTTTTTGCTTCTACCTTGATTTGGAATAGAAACCTTTAAGAAAAAAAATTCCTATTTCTTACTAGCAATCTGTTCCCAGTTCTTCAATGTTTATTTAAATTGGTCAAACAAACTCCTAAATGCAACCATTTTCTTTACACTCAAATGAAKTGACTCTACTTGCCTTGCTACTCTTACCTTAGAAATACTGATTATAGAAAAGAAAAAAACAAAAACCAAATAAAAAAAGKTCCTATTATTTTTTGTTGGTTTTTGATTACTGTATTTGGGAAACCTACTATTCATAAAATTCTTGCTAGTATCTAATAGGAATATCAGTACTTTGTTGACAGTGAGGATTTTTCTAATCCCTGGAATTGTTTCATAAGTGTCTTAAAATTTTGAGTCTGAAGAAACTGGGAGTATTAATCATTGTTGATGTAATGCAAACTGAAAACTATAGTCTGTGAAAATTAAGACTTGTCTTTAGTTGACTAAAGAAAAGTTGGCTAAAATGTTCTCATTGTCACAGCTGAAGGAAAACCAGCAGTAACAAACTCAGTAATGGTAACTGGAAAATAACATCGCTTGAGATAAAATGATGCCAGCAGCTCAGTGATTGATTTTAGAGGAGTAATTGTCCATGTTTCTTACCAACTTACTTCTTTCTTTTTTCCTTCTCTCCCCACCATAGATGAATTTGCCTCTTATCTTTTTGCCTGTACACAAATCCCACATTGACTACCTGCTTCTTACATTCATTCTTTTCTGCCATAACATCAAAGCRCCCTACATTGCTGCAGGGAACAATCTCAACATCCCCATCTTCAGGTAATAACCTCTCCTTATTTGAAAAATGACTGAGGTGGTGGGATCTGACCTATTACACAGGATGTCCAAGTGTAAAATTATGAAATTATTGGGCCATGGTGTACAACTCCTTTGGTTCCTATGACGTTTTCAGAGAAGAGCGTCACAACATCCTTCTGAGAAGGTCTGTTTTAACCTTAGTRGGATAAGGAAGGATAATCCTTTCTGGGAGTCTCAAAGTGGGTAGGTGACTAAGGAAAGATGGTATGGGAAAAGGAGTTTTGAATGAACAGCTGTTCATGCAATTTAGTGAGCTGGCTAATGAGCAGCAACAAGAATAAGACTTTGTGGAAAAGTGTTCCACTTGAGTCTGTATTTAAATTGTATTTCTGGAGGCTGAAAAACCTGAGGTATTTTAGGTAATATTTGTTATTGAGACCAAATTTGGGCATATTTGATTTCTAGAAAAAAAACCACTGGATATTACAGGAAATGATGAGGAAATGAGGGGAATAGCTTGATTTGGAGGGTATTTTAAAGCAGTAGGTGCTGATCTGGATATGTGGTAGTTTCCTGCAAGCTGAAATCAATGAGTGTAATCCCTCTTTGGTGTGTAGCACATTGATCCGCAAGCTGGGAGGATTTTTCATTCGTCGGAAGTTGGATCAGAATCCTGATGGTCGGAAGGATTTCCTGTACAGAGCTTTGCTCTACGTGGTGTGTATTTCTTGTCTTTTCTTTCTGTAGATAGTGTTTCAGTTGGGTAGAAGCGAGTTCCATCAGTCTGGGGATGTATTTATTGCTTTAAATTTGTCTTAAGTTTCATGCTGCAAAAAGGGGATTCATTATTGTATGAAGTTTTGAATTCATAGAATAAAGAAAACTGCATACTCAGYCCCTTTGAGGATGAGCAGATTTCCACCTTGCATAATCCTTATTAAGGAATTTGGAATTAATGCTCTCTGAGTTAACTTACGCTTATTTCTCTGACGACTTTTGTTGTGAGGCATCTCTACCCTGACTCAAATAATACAGTGGAAGTTTCTGTTCATGATGGGTTGATGTAATCCTTTGTGCCATTCAGTATAATGGCTGTATTTACATCTTGGAARATGGGTTGTGCTGGGGAACCAGAAGGAGAGATGAATGCAAATCGACTGCATCAACTGTTGCTAGAGATGGTTTTTGAACAAATGTCATTATACTGCTCATATATTCATGCAAATTCAGCTGGTGATAGGTCTGTGTTTGTGTCAGGCATTAATTACTTACTGGGTTCTTTTTCCACAAGTATTCATGCCAAATCATGATCTTCCAGTGCTTTTAAAAGGAAATCATTGATGAAAATACATTTGAAATGTAGCTTTGCCAATRTAATTAGATAACTTATTTTTTCTCTTTTCCAACCTTTTTGTATTCAGCACATAGAAGAATTGTTGAGACAGCAGCAGTTTCTAGAAATATTCTTGGAAGGCACACGGTCTCGAAGTGGAAAGACATCTGGAGCTAGAGCAGGTCTTCTGTCTGTGGTGGTGGATGCTCTCTTCTCAAATGCTACTCCTGATGTCCTMATTATACCTGTGGGAATCTCCTATGATCGTATAATTGAAGGTCACTATAACAGTGAACAGCTGGTAAGAGCAGTTTTTTTGCCTAGGGATTTTCTGCTTATGTGCAGGAAAATGTGTTACATAGTTCAATGTTGTGCTAGTCCCCTCTGCGATGGACTCAGGGTTAGTGTTGGGCCATGAATCACAGCACCTTTCTGACAGGGAGTGCTGAGGTACAGGTGGAATACTTCTAAATGCAAATTCCTGCCGTAACAAGTAATATGCTCCAAGTGGATATCTGTGGGGAAAAATACTTCTCTAGATTTACTTGAYATTACGAAGTGTGACAAAAGCTTTGGCCTTGTTTTGTCTGCTGTTGCATGCATTTCAATTTTAGACACAGCCTTTTAATTGCAAACTGGAAGAAGGCAAAACAACCACCTGTGTTTTCTAGGGCAAGCCTAAGAAGAATGAAAGTCTTTGGAGTATAGCTAGAGGAGTCTTCAGAATGCTGCGGAAGAATTATGGATGTGTCAGAGTAGATTTTGCACAACCATTTTCCTTAAAAGTAAGTTTGGTATTTCACAGATGTTTTTGAAGGTTTGGCATTTTTGGTTTTCAATAGTGGGACACATTTGTTTTAATTTTCTCTTTGTGGGTTATCATCATTAGCATTAACTGYTGGAGTCCATTCTGGCAGGACAGAAGTATCCCTTTTTTTTGATGAATGTGTGAGCTTTTGGACACATTTGGGTTAAGCTGAGATATTCTCAGACTTGATACATTAATTTTGAAATGGTCTGAGTATTCGTACTGGTGGGGTTCTTTGTTTAACAAGCAATCTTTAAAATGATCTTTATACCATGTAGTAATTCTTTGCATTGCAGAGACATTTGGAGTTGAAGAAGTAATTTAATGATATGCTGTGGTTGAGGRAGGGCATTTATCTCACTGGATTTTTAAAATTGCTAAGCAAATTAGTAATTATAAAAGAATAATGGATCATAAATCATAAAAATTTCTATAGTTTTTTGAAAGTCATCATTCATTATTAGTTCATAACTATTGCCAACTCTACTCCACCATATACTGTTCTGTAGCTTCTCAGAATGGGGTGGCTGCAGTATCTGCCTTCACTCCTTAAATTATCTCTGATCTCTTTGCAGAACCTGCTGGTACTAATCTACATTTCACTAATCTGTATTCGACCACAGTATACCTTATTTTTAGTGTGACTTTAATAAGATTAAGTACTGTAACATCGACTTACTAGAACATTATTCAAATTAATTAGRTGTTCTTCTTTCTGCCCTATTTCTCTCAGAAAAAGCAGTAGGTTGGAGAGCTTTGGAGGGTTCAGTTACCACAGCATGAAATTATTGTGGCCAGCTGCACTGCATTATAATTAGTGTAGTAGGAAAAGATACTAATTCACTTCCAAAKGAGAAGGCTTGGGCTATTCTTGGTAGGGAGTTAACAATTCTTCTTGGATCAGTGTAAGGAAAAGAAGGTTATCTGCCCTCTTAATCTAGTGAAATGCTAATCACTCTATACCTTCCCAGCAGCCTCTGTCAGGTCTCATTTATACCTGTGTTTCTTATTGTACTCTAGAAGGGTGATAAATTACATAAATAGTTCAGGTGTGCCTTGGCTCAGATTTGCAGAAGTGTAACTGTAGTTGTGTCACTGCAGGTTTTCCTAAAGCAAATGAGCTTAGGGGGTTAATTTTGGGCATCTGCTGTTCTATGAGCGCAGGCTTGGAAGCAGAAAAGAACATAAAAGAGGCTGTGAAAGTCTTTGAWGCAGCTTTCCTGGGAGGGAACTGTTTTCCTGACCAGCAGGTTAAGTGGCTCTTTAGTTTCCCATTCTTTACAGAAACTGAAAGAACACAGTGTCCTGAAAAACAGAATAATGTAAATTTTAACCTATAAGGAGAGAAGTTTGGCTTTTGAGAAATTTGGGATTCAGGAATTCCAAACATGTTTGCTGAGGGCTTTAGTTTGTGTCTTGGAACTGGAATTTTGTACTCTAGTGTTTACTCTGGGAGAAGTTCTCTATCCTGGCATTTGAGGAAGGCAGGAGCAAGCAGTAATTACAGTCTCCTTGTTGGTTYTGAATGGGTGCTAGGCTTTGCTCTCACTCATGTTAATGAAGCAGTTCTCATTACTTTAATCGTGGAGCAGCTCATCTCAAAGGAATTGTTCACAGCAGGATKCTGACAGGGGTTATGTGTTGTTTTCATTGCAAGTTTTTTCATGAAGTACAAATTCCTTGCTGTGGGAAGTCTGCTTTTTGCATAAAATRAAGTCTAAAGTGAATAAGCTGTAATATCTCTGACCTTATTACTGCTCTTTTAGTGTGAGCTATTTTTAATCATAGTTTCATTTTTGAATAATTGCCTTTTTCCTGTAATAGCATTATCAGTTGAAAGCAAGAATAAGGCGGAAAAGGTACAAAAAATAACGAGTCTTTTTTTAACAGGAATATGTAAACAGCCAAAGCCAAAAATCTGTGCCTGCTCCTCTGTCTTTGGAACAAGCTTTGTTACCAGCTATACTTCCATCAAGGTATAGATTTTTTTTGGGGGGGGGTATTGTTGAGAGAGAGGATGGGTTGGGATTTGTTTGTTTATTTGTATATCTTGTAAGTGTTCTGCATTATATTCCAAGCAGTGCTTCAACTCCCCATGGGTAATCTAATTTTTTATAGAAGAATGCAAAACTTAGGCCATTATAACTGCAATTTCTTATAAGAGTTACATTTTTCCTGATAAGCTCTGTTTTTAAGGAGGCATTTTTCCCTTCTCTTGATTTTGCCTCTGTTCGTTGTTTTGTGAACTCTGTTTGTTTGTTTATAAATTTTATGGAATAATTTAGGGGGAAAATGACATGCTTAATGGAAAGTGAAGGATTTTTTTAAACCTCACAAACATTTCACAAGATTTTTGGAATCATTTCAAAGCAAATACGACCTAGGAGTGAGTACTCCTTGTTTTGAAGGAGGTGACTCTCTCAGAACTGCAAAACTGCTCGAGGGCTAGTTCTGCATTTATGCATCTTTTATATAGATACACATTTTATTTGGTCTTTTGAGGAGTTACACAAATCTGTGTGATCCTGGTAGAGACAAAGTTAGTTGTGTACTTTTAGAAAGTTGTAWGACCATACAAAAGATCATTTCTAGTTTGTAGAGAGACTGAGCTCTATCTGACTTTAAGGCAGGTTTGCTTATTCTACTGTTGTCCATATTTATTGAAAGAAAAAATGCAGTTGGTGTTAAAGCAAAATCACAAGTAGCCATAGAAAAAGGTTGCAGGTTTTCTTTTGGTAGTTTTATTATGGGTTGTTGTTCAGTGCAAAGAAATAATCAGGAAAAGTTGGTACAGCTTTCTAATGATAACATTTTTCTGCCTTTACCAGACTGTTAGTGGTGTTTTGTGCTGTGGTGTTTGGTGTAGTTAGTGTGTATTAAAAAAAAACAATCAGTCTAGATTACTTTACATTTTGATCAAAATCTAAATGTCATCGTGTTAATTTTTATTCTRTATTCAGACCTAATGATACTGTGGATGAAGGTGCAGAGGCCTCTCTGCCCAACTCCAGGGATGTCACCAGTGAACCCTTCAGAAGAGAGCTGATATCCAATTTGGCTGAGCACATTTTGTTCAGTAAGTGTCRAAGAGTATCACTACCACAGAATCATAGATTGGTGTGGATAGGAAGGGACCTTAAAGATCCCTGCCATGGGCAGRGACACCTCCCACCAGACCAGGTTGCTRTCAGTWRCCTGTTWTGTTTTGATGTCTGCATGAATTTTCTGTGTGGTAATGTCACACTTCCTAGTTGTCTCCATTCAGGTCATAATTTCGTGACTTTTTATGCAATCTTGACAATTCTCCTTTGCCTCCCTTCTTACTCTTCTTAAGTTTAATAAACTCTTTTTTTCTTATTAAGTAGAAAATTTTTGTTCGGTTTTGTTGTACTAGTAAACTGAACTTGCTGTACTCTGAAATATTTGATTGCCCTATTGATACACTCATTTCTGTTCATGTGAGAAGTTATTGGAGTGTCTTAATGGCATTACTTAAGGTCATAGTCACGTGAACTCATTTGGCTGCATGGACCAGTGATGCCAGGTTTGATAGGTTATGTGTTGTTTTGTACTCTAGTTGTTTACCCTGGGAGAAGTTCTCTATCCTGGCATTTGAGAAAGACAAATTATGCTTCAGTCAATAGATCTGTGGTTTGTGGTACAAGAGAGATACACCAAAACAGTACTTATCTTAAATATTTAAGCTTTATTCAGCCTTCTTAGTTCAAGTTACTTTGATTGCTTTAATATTGTTTCTRGATAGATATAATACACTTTGTACTTCATGCAGTAGGTACAGTTCTGTGCCCATATCACTACCATTATTTTATAAATAATGGGTACTGTTTCATTTGTAATGATATTCTGGATGTSTTGGGAGCTTAATAAGTTTATCTTGTTTACCTCTAGCTGCTAACAAGTCCTGTGCTGTGATGTCTACACACATTGTTGCCTGTTTGTTGCTGTACAGACACAGGCAGGTAAGGCTTCTGTGCTGCTYAAATAGCCAAACACTGCTTTGGCTTTGTTAACTTACTGAAAAAAAATAGTATGGCTTTTACTGTTGCATGATACTGATGAAAGAAGAAAGATGCATTTAAATTGAAGTGGATTTCAGGTACTCTCAGTGCTGATATTTTAGTTAGCAGTGGRTGCTTGAAGACAAGCCATTATTGATGGGATGATAATAAATGCTCATGTGGAAATAGATCTTTGTAATTCAAAATGTTACACTTTTTTTAAAGACTACATGGGTGTCATTTATTGTATTACAATTGTTTTTTAGATCTCAAAACACATTCACTATTGAATGCTCTAGAAACTTTTCATTTCCAAATTGATTCTGCTCTTCCTCAGTACTAAAATTTTACATCACAATGGATGATTGATAAAATAATGTTTACCTGAAGTCTTGTGCCTGAGACTTGGAAGAATTTTTTTTCTCCTACTAGTTTGTTTTGCATTTTTTATAAAATTCCTTCTTCTAATCAGAAACTTTTATTGCACGTAAATTAGAACAAATGGTTTCCCATTTGGGAAATATTGGTCAGATATGTAATCTTGCTTGTGGAAGAAGTGKCACTATTCTCATCAGTCCAGTCTTGATACCTCTGATGTGTTCTTGAAGAACAATTCAGGTCTCTGCAGGCTGTGAAATAAACCAAGAAGCAAAGAAAAATCTGGCATTCCCAAATGGTTGCATGTCTGAAAAATATAATTACATATAATTCAAAACATGTGCTTTTTGACAGTTAGTGTATTGTGTTTGATATGTACCTCGCTATGTGGTTTACAGATACACTCCTCTGCAGAAAAATTGTTTATCTGTGTGATTTTGTGTTTATTTCTAGGGAACTGATCTTTCCAGGCTGGTAGAAGATTTCTTCTCCATGAAGGAAGAGGTCCTAGCCCGTGACTTTGACTTGGGATTTTCAGGGAACTCRGATGATGTTGTCATGCATGCCATCCACTTGTTGGGGAACTGTGTAAATATCACAAACACAAGCAGAAACAATGAGTTCTTCATCACTCCCTGTGTCACCATACCTGCTGTCTTTGAACTCAACTTCTACAGCAATGGAATACTTCATGTATTCATTAAAGAGGCTGTTATTGGTATGTTTTGGGGTTTATCAAGGAAAGGCTTTATTGTAACCCTTGAAGTCAAAGTATCTGCGAAAAAAACCTTATCAGTTTCTCATGTTACTTTTATATATTCTTTTCACTTCCTGTTTCAGCCCATGTTTACCTTAGCAAACAATTTTAAAGCAAACTTGTATTTTGTTTRTGGAAAGTTTCCATTATTTTTTCTCCTCATCCTTCATCTTTCTTGGAAGTATTTGAGTATTGGTCACTGCCATAGGCSAGGCACTGTCAGAGCTCTGAGCCAACATGGCAAAACCTCTGCTTTGATGAGCAGTATTTTAATGAGATTTTGTTTTGTTGGGACATTACTGGACACAAAATAGTGGTGAATTCTGTTTTTATTCCTGAATGGCCTGTGTGATGTTTGACTGCTTTTAGGCCCCRAAGTAGACCAAACAGAAGCTTGAAGTTTCCTTTGCCATAAAGCTCTTTGGAAAATTAAACTTATGTCTGTTTCTGCTSCAGCCTGCAGTCTTCATGCCATTCAGAGCAGGAGGTACAGAAATGGCACCAGTGGTGCTTCTCCCAGTTTGATCAGTCAGGAACACCTGGTCCGAAAAGCTGCCAGCTTRTGCTACTTGCTTTCTAATGAATTTACTGTATCTTTGGTAAGTAATTGTATTAATTGTTTCAAATTTTTGTTTGCTTGTTATTTTAAAATTAATGTGTGCTTTCTTCAAGTGTCACAGCCCTGATCTGTTCACTGTGAGTGCAGTGTGATGGTGGTGGGTATCAGTGGGTGTCACACACACACACACAGGGTGCCACCTGCTGCTCCAGCAGGTGCTGAAGTGGGCAATGCTGGGCTGGGTCTGCAGCATTTCTGCTGTGCTGGCTTTGTGCCTTTCCTGAGAAAGAAAGCTGCTCTCTCAGCTTCCCACTACTCGAGGTGGGCTTCTTAAAGCCATCTGAAAGATTTAATGTCGCTCATTAGATCATCACAGCTAGATATGCCTTGTGCCCAATYTATTTCTTTCACCTGCAAAACCACAAATCTTTGGGAGTACCCAGCTTCTGTGAGGTTTGCATAGGTCTTTGAAATTACATTGGGAAGGAAGGCTCTATGTACTAATGGAATACTTACTTACACTTCCTCATTTGCATAGGAGTGCAGTGCTCWTGTTGTGCCACACCCAGTACTTAATGGCCATTTTAAACATGGCCTGACTTCAGTTTTTGTTGTGTTACAAAACACCGAGGAGAACTGATGTTATGTCATTTTTCAGACACTGCAGACTTACAATTTTGAGTGCTACCTGTTATTTTTTCTTATGTGTAAAACTTACTTAGAATTCTAGAGATYCTTGAATTAGTTCTTAAATTTGTACTCATATTTGACTTGTGTATTTTTACTGAAGCATAGGCCAAAGTTAGTATTTTTGTCTGGGCTGTATTGTTAGCTAACATGGTGAAGCTCTTTTGTAGTATTATCCTGCTTTCAGAATTAATAATTGWTTTTTTTTAACTAAGAAAATATTTCCTAAATTATTATGAATAATGTAAAAGAGGTTGGTTTTTTAAATTCAGTTTCAAAACACATAGGAGAATTTCTTGAAAATGTAGTTTCCTTTATATTYCAAACAGATCAATGTTATGAGTTTCAATAATTTTAATTTTATGATGATTTTATTCCAGAATTGTTAGCAAACTAAAATTTGGTTASAGGCTATCAAAAAGGGAGAATATTTAATGTGGCTTTCTACCAGAGGTAAAGCATTTCGGAAAAATCTTGGATATGTTTTAAATACACTATTTCACTGTAATTTTTTTAATGTCTGCCAGGATAAACACAAGAGTGGTGCATTGGGATTAGGCTGATAAAGGTTTAACAACTTGCATAAAAGGAATAATAGTGCTATATCTAAAACATTCATACTGAGCAGGGAATGATGTTGCTATAATGGGTGTGATGGGTGTGATTTTTTTCATTGCATTCCTTTTATGTTGTGCAGCCTTGCCAGGTGATCTATCAAGTTTGCCATGAATCTGTGGAAAGGCTGATCCAGTATGGCATTCTTCTGGTGGCCGAGGTAAAGTCACAGAGMTATTGTAGGAGTAGTGTACTGTACTATAGGTAGTTAATGCTCCTTAGTTGTGAGACTTGTTCTAAATTTATGTTGTTACTGAAAGCTTGTAACATCGTGCCCAGGACTGAGAGTGTTTCATTGCTCTGTTTATAAGCATCAGACAGCTGGGTACACTCATCCTCTGATGCTTCATGACCCTGTGTGTAATTTCATTGTACCAATAACGCTGCTAAGGAAGACACATATTTTTGTWCTGTCTTGAAAATTAGGATTTATTTTATTATTGGAGCCCTTTTAAATGTRGCATAGCTACATGGATTTTTACTTTCTACTCTACAAGGGTCAGGAGTCCAGACCTTTTGTCATTATTTAATTCCCTTGCATTGATCTCAGAATTCCTGTAAAACTCCCCTGCCTGTAGTTTCAGGGCTGCAGGGAAGTCACCGTGTGGTTTGGCAAACCTCAGTTTGCCGAATGTGCACAGTGAAGAGAAAACCTGAGGAGYAGAGGCAGCTGATTAAGCACATTTTTGCTTCATAATCTTTTTGTGCACAGTAAAAAAACCTTGGCACCCAGGAGGAAGCAAGAAAATATTATCTTTCACGAAATGTCTCTTTCTCCTTTTCTCAGTGCTGCCTATAATTGAGTCTCCCCTGCTTCCATTAAGTATTGGTTAATAAATGCACTGATTAAGTCAGATGAGATTATAAAATAAACMCATTGCTTGCCTGGATTTGGACTTTTTACCTATTTGCCACCTTGTCTTTGAAATTTAAGCAGGATGATCAGGAGGATGTTAGCCCCAGTCTTAGTGAACAGCAGTGGAATAAAAAGCTCCCTGARCCATTGTCTTGGAGAAGTGACGAGGAAGATGAAGACAGTGATTTTGGAGAGGAACAGAGAGATTGCTACCTGAAGGTAATACTTTCCTAAGGCTAATGACATTGAATCCTCTTGTGAGAAATATAAACTATTTGCTTATTCAGGACAGGTAATGATAACTTTTTGGGGGGCATTGTTGGGTTGCAGCATTAGTCTGCAGTATTTTTGTACACTCAGTACAATMCCTTCATCTCCTGAGGAAAACAGCTAAAGAAACATCAAACAATATTATAGGGAAGTGAAGGTAATGGCTAGAGGAATGAAAACTGATAAAGATTCAAGTATCTTGATTCTATTCTTTACTGAGTGCATGAAGTCCAAAAGGGGCACATCCAGCTGGTATTTGTATTTGGCCTATATTTCACTTCATAGATTGCTTATATTGACTTTAGATATATTGCTAGTTTTCCCAGAGCTGACACAAACACTCTGTAGGATATCTTGTTAACACTTGAAAACTTGTCTCCATCTCTGTGAATGTATAGCAGTCCTTCTATTGGCTGCAGAACAGCAATGATATCTTTAATTTTATCTTGGAAAAATAGTAATACCCTGGAGGAGACAAAAATAGTATTGGTCTGTGATGTGCAGTGCCTGCTTTGTCCCTCATGATAAGCCTCTTTTTTTGCTGTGCTCCTATATTGTGCTGTGCCCCCACACTTGTTTTTGTACAAGTTTTTGTACTTTTGTCTTTATTTTGGTTGCTGTTCTGCCATGCTCTGTCTTGCAGGTCGTTTCTGGTTTCCACTGGTCTCTCACAACCTTTTGTTGCCTTTCCTTAGGTGAGCCAGTCTCAAGAACACCAGCAGTACATCACTTTCCTGCAGAGGTTGTTGGGACCTTTACTGGAGGCATACAGCTCTGCTGTCATCTTTGTGCATAATTTCAGTGGTCCTGTTTTGGAATCTGAATATATTCAGAAGCTACACAGGCACTTAATAAGCAGGACGGAGAAGAATGTTGCTGTGTATGGTATGTTAAACTGGTTTTGGAACTGGGTTTGATTGATTCAGTCCTTTCTGCCCCAAGGTAGCCCCAATTGAGCTGCAGTTTGTTTATCTCTGTTTTTTCTTTCTTGCAGCGGAGAGTGCTACCTACAGTCATGTGAAAAATGCAGTGAAAGTCTTCAAGGAAATTGGAGTAAGTGTTTGGTGCTCAAATCTGGTGACTGTTGAGTTTAATTTTGTTAATGAGCACAGGAATCTGTTCAGTGTCAGTTTAAAATCAGTGACTGTATCTGTGGGTTTAGAGCATTTTGGTTTCCTTCAGGCTGAGGGCTCTTAAAGAGAGCACAAGCTGCAGAACAGGGCACTTCTTGCCCCTGGGAAGTCCTGTCCTGGGTTGCTGGGTGACTAGACATTTTTATTCACAACAAATGAAGTCCTGTGTTCTGCTTCGTGTCCCTATTGGACAAGATTGAAAAGCTGAAAGTATGTTCTGTGCTCAGTAACAGCTAAATTTAATTTTGAAGTCTAAAATCTTAAAAAAAAATTWGTTATTGAATTTTGGCTTAGCATGATTGATGCTCCAGAAGAACCATCCTTACACACCTTCAGGGTCCACCATAAAGGTTACAGGTTTTCTTTAAGATAAACATTCAATTTTGTATTCTTCCACTAGTCTTTTAAATTTTAAATCACCGGTCTGGATTTTGCAGGTGAAGTGTTTAATCAATGGCATGACTTCCTGAATGCCAGATAAGATCTAGCATTATAATTTTGAAGTACTGACATTTAGTCAAAATGTTACTAGATATGGGTTTTGAAGTCTTCGTCTTTAAATTCTGATGTATTATGTAATCCAACAATGGTGGCCTAGTAAAGGTGTCTTCCTGCAGACTCCTAACATCTGTGAAGAAAACACATATTGAATCCATCATTATCCAGCAGCAGGATAAACTAGAATGAAAAGTGGAGCTAGATAATGTCTGCTGAGAATCTGTTAAAACGTAACATCTGAATTCTTGTTTTTAAAGTGCTTACACTTTCAGTTGGATGCCTTTGATTGTTTGTTTTATCCCTCACTGTTAAGATTTGGTTTATCATACACTGTACTTATTTCTCAATTTCTTTTCTTCCATAACCYTTGAAGGGCTTCAACACTGAGTGAATTCTAATGGTACCTAAAGGCATTGCCATTTAAGTCAAGAAAGAAWAAGTCTTATAAAGAGGGAAACCTTAGTATAGACCATAACATTTCAATCTCAGAWGAAAGGAGATTGCTTTAACATGGTGATAGTTACATGTGTTCATGCTGTGCTTTAGGTTTTCAAGCAGACYAAGCAAAGCAAAGACATCATTTTGGAACTCAGCACTACGTTCCTACCTCAGCGCAACAGACAGAAACTACTGGAATTCGTCATGAGCTTCATGGTGTTATAGACCACACACAGCACCTTTGTCCAGGGACACAAGGACAGCTTTTGAGACTGTGGCAAARCCTGGGGACATTTGCTAATCCTTCAAAGTGTAAGGTGCCACTGTCTGGGTAAGGCCTTCTCTGACTTGAACTACTGGAAGACAAGTGCCTTCTTACGTGTGCATTTATGGGTTTCTTACAGTCCCAGTCCTGTTGTAATACAGCGATACTCAGATGACACTTTGGATACAAGTAATTAAACAGGTTGCAAAAAATGAGGTAAATTATTAGGATTAGACTTTAAAAAGAGTGAAGTTTTATCAGTGTTACATTTTAAATATACTTTTAAATACTGTAACAGATGCACAACTACACATATTGGTGTTCTGTAGCTAACCTTGAGATCTTGAGTTTAGTGGCAACACAGCTTATGGCTTAACCAAGTAACTCTCATTCCAGTTCAGTTTTATTRTTTTAAATAAATRRTTTTAAAATTTTGTTTAGGCAGGCTAWATACTTCATGGATAAAGCCATAGTTTTTCATAAATGTTAACATAAATGCCAAAATTCTAATGAGAATTACAGGTACATACATCTGAGAATAACAATCATGTAGCAGGTGATTGTGAGAAATGTCAGCAGGCACACCTTGCACTATTAAAACTGTGTAGTGCAGTGGTAAATTGCACTAATCACTGCTGTCCAGAAGAATGTGAGAGTAGTGTTCTTGTTATCATTATGGCATCTGTCATTCAACCAGATGGAAGTCAGGAGACATTTGCCTGAATGTGAATATCTTGTAAARTCTTAGATTATTATTTAATTGAAAAAAAAACCTATTAAATTTGGGTGGYTTTTTTTYKTGGTTTTTTGTCTGTTTGTTTTTTTAATTCATAGGATGTCAGATATTAAGTGGTGTGAACACTTGATTTGGTGRAATAAGTTTTAATTTTACCCCTAAAAATTTCAGCAATAACTTCTTGCAATTCTTTGGAAGTAAGTGTTCATATTGTTTTCTGTTGCTGAGCAAACCTAAATTGGCATCAAGTAGTACCTCTGCAAACACAGAAATATAAACAGTATACTTTTGACTGTGATCTAACTGACTTACAAAAAAAATTAATTCATAGGCAAAACTGAATGATTAATAAATTCTGTCCTATGAAACAGGACTCTGGTCTTGCAATTTGATCCTTTTGCATGGAGGACTTGCACTGTAGATTTCATCTTCTCTTCATGTGAGAGCAGATTGGATTGCAACCTGTAGTCCTGTATAGCTGAAGCAATAACTTGGTGGTATGTGAAGCTGGTTTGCTTGTGAAATGTGTTTTCCCTCCTTTATGCCTTCTAGATGAGGGAAATTAAACATTTCTATTGCTGCATTGCTTTGCTTAATTCTCAAGGCCTTGTAAGCAGAAAATCCCCGAAACTTCATCATGTAATCTCTGTTGCTTAACCCAAACATGGAAAAGCATACTTGAATYCCAGCACTTGCACTGTTATGCCAGCACAAAACTGATGCACACAATTAGAGTTTGTGGCCAAGGAGCTTGCATTCGTACTGCACATTTGTCAACAAGAATRTTTCTGTAAATTTTTTTATTAAATGCTATTAATCTTTGAAACCTGCAGTTTATAGTTTATTAGCATTATACTGTTAGCACTGTGAGATGCATGTGTTCTGTCACTAAACCAGGTGCTCTACAACACTTAAAGAATTTCTGAACCAAAGCTACATTAATATGGATAAACACTGACCCTAGAGTCACTTGTGTTCTTGTGTCCTTCTGCTGTGTCAGTAGGRCAGTGACTACATCACACATAATTTGTTTTGTGAAGGCTACCAGCTGTTTAGAAAACAGTTTCATCTCATACTCACTGATGTGCACTGTTCATTCACCTGATGAATTCTCCATACAACGTTTGTTGCTGATGGCTTCCATTTAATATAAAAAAAAGTCTAGGTGCTTCTGAATAACGAGCTCTCATAGTTTACTGCACTTCAGTAAATCTGAAGTGTACTAACAGCAAAGATTGTACATAAAAAAAWTTTAAAAAATGAAGCAATATGAAGCAAACAAAACTTGAGTCATTTTATTAAGAATGTTTTGCCAACGGCAGTATTGGTTACCGTAAAACCCAGGAGTGCCGTGGTCACTGGAGTGTTYTGGCTAGGTGTTGCAACTAAAGTAATTTATGGCTTACATTAAAAAAAATTTAAAAACAAATCTGGGTAACATAAATCAATGAGTGAGTAATAATGCATGTGAATACWCATTAATGAATAATTATATATGCAGGGGGAGGGTGCAACTCTAAAACTGTTTCGGTTTTGTATGAAACAAAAAACCTGCATGTGAGAGATTGGTAAAATGAATCATATGCCACTGGAAGCCTTTGCATTCTGCAGCAAGTGTGTATGTATACATGTATATATGCTAGTGTGTATGTTCTGACACACAACATCTATGCTTTTCCCTGAGATTAAAGCACAGAATGTAAAATTATCAGGCTGTAACRGTCGAAAAATCTAAAACCAACACTTGCACTGTATTTACACCTTCAGTGTCTTCTGATTTTATTAACTTCTCATGTTTCGTTTGCTGTTAGAGTTCCAGGTTGTGTTGATTTCAGTAAAGTTAACCAGTAGTGGAGAAAGGACTGGCCCTGAATTACCACAACTGTATTTTAAGACTTTATAAAAACTTAYATGAGTCTCGTCATTCTTATGAGCATAATACTCAGGTGTGCAAATCTTTCTGGGCCAGGGTCTTTCATGCTACAAAAAACTCAACTTCCCCATGCTCATCCCATAGATCTCCCATTTTTAGAGTGATGGAAATGTAGAATTCCACTCCCCATGCAGCCRCAGCAAGCTGTGTCCTCACTGACTGTAGGCTCGGCAGGGTATGGACTTTGTACTCACACTGACATGTCAGGGGCAAACCTGCCTGCTCCTGGCAGCACCATCTCTGGTCAGGAGGCACAGACACACATTGCATTGAACTGCCTGCCTGCTCCTCAGAGAAATGCCCCAAGCACCTCGTGGGAGAAGGTTGAGCTGGGAGGTGATGTAAGATGCTGTTGTGTTTCTGTACTAATGAGCCGGAACTGCTGACTGGAGAATGTTACTGTGTTTTACCTGTTATGTGTAATGTGTGTCTGTTGTAGAAGCACAGAGAGGTGTACTGGAGTCATTTTAATAAATTAAACTGTTTGCTAATATGACATTTAACAAGTTCTTCTAGTGTTCTTTTGATTTTTTTTTTTGTTGCTGTGTTTTTTTTTAATGGTTTCCTAAGATAATTCATTCAATTACTTTCTCCCATTGCAGGTAGTTTCTGAAATTAAACCACAAAATCTTTCATTGTAAATGTATCTCTACTGGTGTATATRCTGGAGCAGAGACACTTTTAAAGCAGATTGAGGTGACATCTCAACTCCTGAGCCACTGTTTTATTGTGAGGTTGAGTTGCCATTTTGATTCTTTCTTTCCCCATCCCCACAAGGCTCTTGTTCATGCAGYTCTTTCAGAGTTCCTCTCTCCTCATGGGAGTGTGTGTGATTCAGGAGTCTGGGATGGCTCTGATCCCTTCYTACGGTCATTTCAGGCAGACCTGGAGTGCAATAAACACCTGTCAGCAATTGTGACAGCATCTGGCAAATGWGAATTAATTGGAATGGGGCTTTAATGTAATAAAACCTGCATAGRCGATCATTAACTAAATTGAGAAGGAGGGATGCTGCTTCACTCTTCAGGAAAAAAAAGTTATAATCAGCTGATTCTATAAGAGGCCTCTAGCAATGTTCACATGCAAGCAAGGCTCAATTAATTGACAACTCAAGGCTGAAGCAGGAAACTTAGAATTCAATTATTGTCAATAGCTTGAATTAAACCCAATTCTTGTTGGTGATGACCTTATATGTTATTTCTGTAAATGTCTTCCTATTTCTCAGYCTTTTGAAATCCCAGATGTCAGATAAAGCACTTATCTCTAGTTTTTGYTTAATTCAGTTTTTCTATAATAAACGCTTGCCAGGCTTGTTTAGAAGGGTCATTGCTTTGAGCTCTCTGCTTTGCTCTCTTATGGTACACTGTGTTTTCAGTAGCCCTGTGTTTTCAAGGTAAGATCCACATTGATCTGARTTGCTGCTTGAAACATTTTCAGTCTTTATTTATAGATGTTCCTTGTGGTTTGCWGTGCTGGGCAAGAATTATTGTCCTTATTTATTCTCCTGTAAGCTGGCYAGCCTGTTAATGTAATTATCCAGAAGGTATTATCATAGTTGATGCTATCCTTAGAATAAGGAACTTTCTGTCTTTTCTGAAGAAACATGTAGGAAATGTTCATCACTGTGTGTTGTGCCAGAATTCAAGCCTGAGAGACCATGAACTCCAAAAATATTTTCAGATTTCATCTGTCATAAAGCACTGGCAGTTACAGAAAMAAAAGCTATTTAATTAATTACTGTGTAACTATTAGTTATACAAATATGTRTGTATGTAATTATGCAGTGCAAAATTTCAGTTAAAGACAGTAGCATAATTGCTATGAGTAATTTGCATTAAAAGGTTCTCCAGCATAGTAATGATAGTGGTTGTCAAACTGATGGTATTTCCAATGTCTTGGTCTTAAACATTTTCCAGAGCAACAGTCCCTGACAGGTGAGGAAACCCAGATATGGAGATCAGATGCTGTAAATTAGGCTCAAAAATTCACTGAACCCATGCATGGCCTTAGACTCATGTCCCTTCTGAGGCTGTTTTCTACTCTCATTAGGAAGTAATTTGAGGAAAATCGCATGTGTTCCACAAGTATCCAGTGGAAATTTTCCTCTCCTTGRAACAAGAGGCACAGTAAGAATGAAACAATTGTGGAGTGGAAGGGTTGCTATTAGGACTGGACATGATTCTACATCTGTTCTGAGTCCTGTCTGTTCAGTATCTTCATTAGTGACCTGGGCAGTGGAAGAGAGTTTGCTCTTCACATTTGTGGGTAACTAGATTAGGGAGAGCCGGGTGTGGTGGAGGTCATCATGACCCCATGGTACTGATATGCTTTGGAAATATCCAAAGGCAAAAAGAAGAAAGCAATTCCAACCAGGGACGTACAGTGTATTACATCTGAGAGAAGATCAACTGATGTACAGGCACAGGAGAGCAAATAAATCAGCTGTGTAGCAATTCTTTTGGAGAAAACTCCAATTTAATGGCAGACCACAAGCAGAACATGACTCAGAAGGGTCCTGCTGCTATGGGAAGGGCAGGTGGTGTGTAATGATGGAAGGGGGGAAAAAGGCTTCCCCTCAGCCCCCTTTATGGAGAAGAGAAGAATCTGGGTAATTCCCTGGCTCTGCGAGTACCCAGACTGGACAAAAGTAGTGATTTTAGTCATCAGTTGCAATGAAAAGAACCAAGAGTAGATAATGTGCAATTATTTTACTGTGAGCAAGGAGAAATGCTGAGATGGATGGGCTAGGAGGGCTGATGTTCTCTTTTTCTGAGAAGCATTGGGTTCCTGTCCCTGTTGGTTGGACCACACTGGGACCTTGCTGTGCTAGGGAACAACAGACAGGTGAAGCTCTGCCTTCCTGGTCTGGGCATCTTTCCTGAGCAAAGTAGAAATGGRTTTGTACAGAAACAGCTTTGGCTGGTGGTCTGGCTGATTCTTTTTCAGATCAGGAGCAGCTGAAGCATAAATCATACTTCTTGTTCCTGTAATCATTCAATTCCTGTTATATTTTTCCTGTAATCATTCAGGAATAAAAAATATGAGGGCTTTATTAAGGTTGTTTTCTCAACATGTTTGCTTAGTGTCTCTGCTGGTCAAAAACCAGATGGAGTACCAGCAGGGAGCAGGAAAGGACTGGGGAAGAAATCAGACATCACAGTGGCTCTGCATT